AAAGTTTAATGAACTATTTCCTTTTTGTTTACCCAGCTCTCAGCCGTTATCATTTCTCAGTGCACTCATATCAGGAGATACTGTAAGTTGGTATGAATTCCTCCATGTGTTTGTGTTGACGCGTTTCTTTTCTCAAACCGTGCATGCATGACTGAGGGGGGCTCTTTCAAAGTGTCACCCTCAGCAAAGTGCTGAGGGTGACTAAATAGTGGATCAGAAGAGATGTCAGAATGCTGAAGTGTTGCCACAATCAAGTTTTAATGAGACGCATCAAATATGGATGGGGACGAGGGGGGGCGTTGGCCGTTGGTTGACAGCAGGGTTCTGTGTGTGTGTGTGTGTGTGTGTGTGTGTATGATAACGCATACTGTTTGTGTACTACAAAAGATATACATCCTGGTATTTGCACTTAGACGGACTGCTTAAATTGTCCCTGAAGCTCATAGAGAGACAGGCAGAGAGAGAGAGCCATAATCGCTCTTATTGGTATACAGCATATGCCGTAGTGCTGCACAGCCATAAAGTCTTACAGATGGGGAATTTAAAATGAAACGTCAACGATAAAGCAGAACAGTCTGAGTTATCATAGCCTTTAGGTTTAATATCTTGCCTATTGCAGCTCTGCTTTACAATGACACCCAAAAGGGAACGAGGGAAATTTGGTAAACCACTATTCAATTAATTTGTTTAGGTAATGATTTCTGTTACTTGGTTTATTTTGTTATGAAATGTGCTGTGAATATTACTGCCATATAAATGTCACTATGGCTACCCCTGGTTGTTTTTTGCCAGTTGATCTCTAATAATACTTGTGTAAATACCACTGAACTCGGTCTTCCCGCCGGTTTCCCTCCACTCTACAGTTCAGTTGTCTGCTGCAGCTTGAGGGTACATTTGTTTTAAGTCTCGTGTAGCACGAGTGGGTGGTGTGCTGCTCTGTGTTAACAGGATGGTGCTGACAATGGGATGTGATGTTCCAGCAAAAAACAAAACACCAATCCAAGAATTTGCAGCGGAAACTTGTTTCAGTGCACTGGTGTTACAGTCATTCTCCGTATTGCACAAAACCTTTGCTGTTCAGTTCACCACCCTGCACATTAGCAAAGGTTGTGTTTAGGGAAAAATAAATGCATTCAGTACTCTTTAA